AATAAAAATAAAATAAAATAAAATAAAATAATTCAGGTGTTTTGTCTCCTGGGCTTCTTTGGGATTTCTTTTTCATTCCATAACTACAGTAACAATGCTGCTGCATATACACCTCTGATTTTCAAAATTAGTTTCAAGTTAATGCCCCAGAATTCTGCAGCAGCCCAGAATTTCTTTACTGCTCTTTTTTAAACCCTAAACGTGGTCATATTCTTATTTCTTGCTGCTTATGAGAGGGCCACAGAGCAATATAGGTCCCAGCTGAATAGAAATATCCAAAGTCTCATGTTGACATTGAACCTTGTATCTCTAGACCTTGAGAAAATAATTTAATTTTCATATTTTAATTGTTCCATACTTATTAATAATTGTTTAATAGTTTAATCACTGAAATATAGAGTCACTAATTAACAGGAGGAGTTTGATGTCTCACTGGTACGAAAAAGGAGTGAATAGTTCCAGGCTGAAGATACAGGAATTAATCTAAAGGCAAATTCCAGTTTCATGCTGGTGTAATAATTCAGGAGTTACTGAAGTGAACTGATTGGTGTAAGTGGGATCAGAATTTGGCCTGATTCCTGAATTGAGTTTTGCAGTCTAAATTCATGATCCTAAAAGCCTGACACATCCAGGCATGCCTCTTCACCTTGTTTTGCAGGAAATTAACGCAGTTGCCCAGTATTCCTGTCTTACATCAGAATTAAGGGGCTCAGACTGATGCTTTCACAGAATCCCAGAATCCCAGAATGTCAGGGACTGGAAGGGACCTCAAAGGATCATCTAGTCCAATCCCCCTGTCTGAGCAGGACCAGTGAGCATCGTGCATTCCACACAGGTTCAGGACAACGCCGTTTGCGCTGACGTTCAGCGTTGCATTGAGGTCCTTGAGCTCCACTTTGGTGATGAGTTGGATGAAAAACAGAGCAGAGGAGGCCAAGTTATCGGGCCAAATTCCTGCACTAAGCCACTTAAACGAGGGCCTGATCTGGATGTCATCGTTCACTTGATTGCTCATATCCCCAGAGTGAAAAGCTCTGATTTCACCACCGACTCCTCCGTTCTCCTGAAATATGAGGCCAACACAGCTGGGCTGGCAGCTCTGCGCTGCCCACATCACTGACATTGCCATGCCTGTCACAGCAGGTATATTCAGCACATTCACTTCATCTCTCAAGCACCCTTGACAGCATAATGGCGATGCGGCTGGATGTTCGGTGATGAAATAATTGCAAGCAGGATGCCTGGGGGCACTGTTCCTGGCATGTTAATGCAGTCAACATTTTTTGAAGGAGGCCCTCAGTTTAAGTCACATCCTATGTTCAGGCTCCCGTGCAGAATAACCTGGTGGTGCAGCTCCAGGGCTGCAGAAGGCCCTGTGGCATGGGTAAATAACCAGCCAAATTTTCCCCTGTCATGTCTCTAAAAGGCAAGCCCACTCCTGCTGCCTTTGGCTCAAACTCCTCTGCTTGTCTGGGACCTGGGATTCCAGTTCACACTTTAGGCGTCCCAGTGGACACATTAAGATCAGGCAGTGCTCCTCTGCAGCCCATCGGTTTTGCTGTGCATCAATAGCTACCATGACAGAGGAAGAGGGTGAATGACTTTGCAGCTTGAGGAATCAAATCTATCCCAGACTGATGTTGCTTCTAAGTTCTCAAGCAGAGAGAAGCAGCATTTTACACTAAGTGGAACAACACAGAAGCTGAGAAAGAGCTTTCTCTTGCTTCTTCTGGGCTTACTTGCAGCTAGCCATTCACCTGGTGAAATGCAGAGATGGGTCAAATCCTTGCTTTGAACCAGACACAGAAGATGATACCAGTGGGACTTCTCCAGCATCTTCTGTGTGAGTCCTAAGCCAGGTCTGAAAGCACTCACCAGAGCAGCACCATCAAACACAAAGAGGGTCCTTGTCTCTGGGAACTTCATGGGGGTTTCAACAGGGACCTTGTTCCTGGGGTTTCAGGGTATTCGGGCTTCAGTGCAAGCAACATGGGGAAATTTTAAGCATCCTCTTGGTTTCTCTGGATTTTGGGAATTAGAAGGCTGCTAAGAGAGGATTTTGATGATCTTATGGCACGTCAGTGTTGGATTCTAACTGCTAACGATACGGCTTCAGTGTGATGTAGCCCTAACAAAGATAGCTTGCACCTGGAGTCTCATCAGCACTTTAATTCCAGGACCGTGGAGCTCATTATGACTACCTTCACAAATATCTACCTATTCTCTCAGTTTTTGCAGGCTGGTTAGCCATGGCTACACTGTGACAGCATCTCAGCCAGCTCACTGGACACTCATGAGCACGTGTCTACCCTTCAGGGCAGTTGTATCAGAGTATCTCATGCCCCTTACTGACTTCAGCCCTCTATGCCGTTCTCAGTCCTGCATGTGGAGATACACTTCGGAAGCACCAAGGTCAGATAATAACACATATAGCTCTGGGCAGGGTTATGGCACGAAATAACCACCCTCTCAGAACTGAGAAAGGAACTGGATGTCCAGATCCGCAACTCTCCTCCTGGGCTCAGTGTGGTTTGTTGGCAGTGAATCACTGATGCTTCAAGCAAGCAAACAAGCAAGCAAAACAAACCTCAAACCCACCCAAGTTAAAGATGCTTCCCTTAATGAACTACACTTCATTCTGAAGGAAAAAAAGCCCATGTGCTGTTAGGACCTCATGTGTAAGTCGAGATCTCTGGAAGAGGAGCCCACCTTCCTTTCCATGTACAGGCACTGGTGACCCAGACTCTTCTTCATGAGGACAGTGCTATGACATGTTGTTATGATGACAGCAGCCCAATTACTACGTGTACACCTGAGCTGGGCAGGGATTTCCCATGCCCAGTGTAAAACTAGTGCAACCCCATTCGATGCAGTTGGGTGGGACACCAACATGAGCATCTGCATCCTTGTGTTGTCTGTCTTCTGACTGAGTTTGGGATTGCAAGGATTCTCTCAAATGCAGTGCCTGGGCGTGCAAGCTGCTGGCGATGCCCTGTGAGATGACAGCCTGGCATGTCTGAGCAGGATATGGTTTCACCTCCCTCCTTTGCCTTGCCACCAAGAAAAGAAAAGAAAAAATAGTATTCCCTTGGTTTTAACAGGATCTATGTCTCGCATTCTTCAAACAGGGATTGCCCCTATATGAAAACTAACAGGCCTTCAGAAAAGAGGTAAAATATATATGCACGTCTTAAAGATCTAACAATGCCTTCATCACAGGATGAAAGCTCCCCGTAAAAGCTGAAGAAGAAATCAATTTAATAGCTCCTTCACTCCTTCCTGACTCCTGGAGCGCCAGTTACGTGCTGAGACAACCTTGTTCTGATGAAAGCAATTTTGCTTGCTGCTGTGACGCTAATTTTTTTTCATCTGGAGAGTGGCTCCTTACGGCGGGTCTGATTCAATTAAGGATTACAGGGTTCTACACCTCCCTTTCCTGGCGGTGTGCGCTAAGCAAGTGCAAACGAATTACAGACCAATTGTTTTCCCCTGATCCCTAATGATCCCAGGTGCGTTAATGCACCAAGGTCTACGGGTGAACTTCAAAAGAATGGAAAACACAGCCCTGCTCTGCTTTTGGCACCTGTACCTGGTCTTTACACATGCAAATCGAGTTCCCTGTTCCTTGAAAACAACCAAGCAAAACACGACGACGTCTTGAGCATCCCACAGAGAAGGGCGTTCACGCTGTTCCTTCTCGGTGACCTGCTGTTCCAGAGGGCACCCAAGGGTGCTCGGAAAGCTTTTGCTACCAAGGATGGTGGGCAACTAGCAGAACCCACTGCAGCGCCGGGGCATCCTCCGAGGGGCTTTCCTGGTGCTGCAGCTTCGTCTTCACACGTGTAAAACGCAGAGGGGGCCATGCGCTGCCCTCTCCCCTTCCTGCTCATGTTCCTCCTCTCCCTTCTCCCCGTGTCCCTGACTGTCTTTGGTGTCTCATCACCACCTCTTATCAAAGAGACTTTTGACACATTTGTATGTTTGGCTTTTTTTTTCCCCCCTGCTTCTTGCCTCCCTCTCTTCTTTACTGGCTCATGTGTTTAAAAAGTGCAATTTACCTGTTACAGAGATGCTGGTTCTGGTAAAGCCATCAAGGACTCAGGCTTTCCCCTCCCTCACCCCCTGTACTTCATTATTTATGACAGATCAGGATCTCCCAGGCTCTCCTCAAGTGACTGGGACCTTTACTCGCAGTTATCATCCCCTGAGGGCATGAAACTTAAGAGTGAAAGGTCTGAAAAGAGAGAGGAAAAGTATTTCTCTGCCTCTTGGCTTATCTGGTCTTGTTCTGGACGCCTATGGCTTTTCCAGTTTTGTGTCCTCTGTTGGCTCATGCAGAGCATGTCATTTCACAAGGGTTTGTCATCGTATCGCTGATTCCTGGGGATCCTTCTGTCTCTCAGTGTCTCTTTTGGATGTTCAGTGCTCAGAGAGCCTCACTCCATCACACCAGAGAGAATTCAGCCTGGAAGCTAGAGCACCGGCGGGTCTTTGGTGAGCACTTGGTCAGCATGGAGATCTGGGTGCTGAAGTTGGTGCCATTGCTGCCCAAGGAAGGGTGATGATACTTCATGTCCGAGCCCAGGAACCGCTCCAGGTGCCACCTCCGCCACTTTCGCTTGAGCTCAGCTTGGACCTAGATGGTGGAAAGACAAGGAAATCAGCAGAGGCGAGCCTCTTCCATCGCTCTGACTTGACTGTGTGAGTAGCCATGGGTGACCCACCTCCCACGGGGCCAAGAATTATTTTATAAAGGTCACAATCTGGCCAGAACTTTTAGCCACATAGAAGAGAGGCCTCACTCCAGCCAGTGAGCTACTAGAGCAGGAATCCCTGAGCTTCAGCAGAAAGGTGAGCACAGATGATTGCTTATCTGATACAGTGAAGGTGCCAGACTACTAGACTTTAATGTTAACATATTCTATACTTTCTGAGTACAATTAAGATTTTTTTTTCACTCCTCTGTTTTTGTCCAAATACAAATGATTTAACTATAGCTTGTTAGAAAAGCTGTCAATACAGTTGTGCTTTTTTGATAGAAGCTACTTTTTCCTGCTCAGAGAGTTTACGTACATCATCCGGTTTCCACTGTCCAGATTAAAATCCCCAACAAATCTGGCCACTGTCCCTGTCCCCTCCTGCAGCCTTCTGGTGCATATTTTTAGATGACAGTATGAATTAGATAAAACAGATAAAAAAGTCTGAGGTCTCTGGGATCAGCAAGCACGGGAACAGTACAACAGCAGGATGCAAACCCCAGGACTGGAAGTGTAGGAAAGGTCAGATCAATGCCTGTAAAGTAGAAGCATGTTTACCTGGCACTGGTCTGTGCCTAACAAGTCACGTCAATGCCTATATCGAGTTTGGATCATTGGTAAGTTTGTGTGGTTCCATCCTGCTGGGCACAGGCTTACTGGGAAAGGTCTCTGCTGGAGCTGGGCTACCTGCCCTGCATGCCACTGCGTGATGTACACATGGCACCGGCACGGCTGAAAGCAGCATCGGAGCTGTAAGAGAGCAAATTGTGATTCTGGACACTCTTCCTCTCCCCAGGAAGTTGGAACACAAACCCAGATCACAGCTGCTTCTTTCTTGTCCGTGCTCAGTTTATTGAGCTGAAAGTGCTCCAGATGACGGCAGCTCCAAGTTTTTAGCGGCTCACACCTACTTGGTAGCCACCATGATATGGGTTTGATCAGTCTCTGCTGAATTTCTTACGGGCAGATGGAGCACGGTACAAAAATACCACTGCATTAATGAGCATCCATCTTGGCAGTGGGCCTGATTCTTTGGAGGATTCATTGAGGCACCAAGCAAGAGTAGGACTTGGAAGATGGGCTCTACCCTTCCCTGCTGAAGGTGGTCCCTTTGGATCAGGGTTTATGCAAGGTCATATGAGAGTTCTGCTGATGCTGTCTCATGAGTAAAGGAAGGACTCAGCAGCAGAAATATTACAGTCCCCACAAAAATCCTAATATGTTTATTATTTGTGCTGGAAACTGTCAGGAAAATGGTTGAGTTGTTTTTCTGGAGTGAGCGATTTGACGTGGAAGGTTTGACCTGGTGACATCAGGAACGGGACACTTCTCAATCTACTCTCCACATGCATTCAATTTGCCTTAGCTGCAAACATTAACTAAACAATATCGCTGATCTTACCTCCCCGTTGAGAAAACAGTACAGAACAGCCACCACAAATCCCTGGAGAAAAGAAGAGAACAGGATTTTAGCACCTCATAGCTGATACTCCTCTAGATCACATCCCAAACCTACTGAAGCCTTGGAGAAAGGGCATACTGCTGAGGCACTGCTAAGGTGCCCCTTAGAAACCACTTGGCTGCATTTTCATAGAATCCTAGAATGGTTTGGGTTGGAAGGGACCTTCAAGATCTTCTAGTTCTAACCCCCCTGCCATGGGCAGGGACACCTTCCACTACACCAGGTTGCTCAAAGCCTCATCCAACCTGGCCTTGAACACCTCCAGGGATTTTGGCTATAAAAGAAGACGGGGAAGATTGGTTAAGGTACCTTGCAGCAGATGTACAGGTGTGGTTCAAAGATTGCTCCAGATTGGTGTTTAAAGCCATCAGCAGCCAGCTCAGCTCTAAGAGGGGCACTTGGTCATTCAAACTGGGGCACTAGAGGCAACTGGATGGGATCCTAGACCCAACTCTCCTGCTTGCTCTTGGCAGCTGAAACTGGGGACAACTAACCATGTTCTCTCATACACCATTGAGATCAGAATGATCTTAGACACAGTATAGGGATAAACTATTCCCTTCCCATCTGCCCTGTGGTGACACCTCATTTTTGAGAATCTCAGCTTTCACTGACAAAAAATAAACCAAACTTAGCTCTAGCCCTCATGGTTGCAAACACTAAAGACAAGAAGTAAGTGTAGGTCCATTTCTCTCTCAAAGGAGAGGTGCCAGATGTGAAGTGATAATGACGTAGGCAGGGACATTAACTCTTTCACCACTGAACAAAGCGTGCCACTGACATGTGCATGGTACATGGTGACAGATCCTGCTTGCAGGCTGTGAGAACACGAAGTGACTACAGCTGATTAATGGATGGATGCAATGCGATGAAATACATAAACAAGCGTTTCTGTTCATGCAACAACAGGGTCAAGGTTAACAGCCCAACATGGGAACTGACTGAAGTGAAGCATGTGGGAGGGTCTAAGAAACAAACTCCACCAAGGCTTCCTGAAGATTAATGCAAAGGACAACCCAATTATCCATCCTTGTGGGGAACCTGTCTCTTATACTGATGAACTGGAATCCTGCTTGAGCGGGATCTACAGGCATGACTTGGCTTATTAACAGAGGAGAAAGTTCATGCAAGTCAACTGGTTGAGGGCAGACGAGGCTCCTGTTAATGGCCAGAAAGACATTCCTCCCAAAGGCGATTTATTTCATCTTACACCATGTCAATAATATATAAACTGAACTGAAGTGTTCATTTTTCTCCCTTAACTACAAAAAACTCAAGGTGACTAACTTACAGAGGTGCATTTTCTTCTCGGGTGCCTAAAATGAGAAGAGAGAATCTCCTTCTGGAATTCCACGAGGCAAAATATAAAATTATCTTCCATGCTGGCCAAGCTGCTGTAGTGAGGAGCTTTTTCCCCAAAGGTGTAAGAACAGTATTGGGCATGTCCAGAAAAAAACCCATCTCACATGTTTGCTTGTCCCCTTGTCATCCTTGCTTCTCCCTGCCGACAGAAGTGGTGACTGACTGGTGGCCCAAGGGTGGCTTACCTGGAAAGACCCAACCACGAGCTCAAAGACCAGCTTAACTTCTGCTTTGAAATTGTCAGGGAAGAAAGCAAACATGATGTAGTGAATGCCAAAGAGAGGGATCAGCAGCAAGGTGGACTTGGCCAGCCTCCTGTTGGAAAGACAAACATGAGTCATAAGGGGAGAGTGAAGAGGAGCTAAAGGGTAAGCTGATGAGAAATCCTGCAGCTGAGCCCTACGCAACCCTGAAACTTAAATTTGCTGCAGTACATATTTGCTGATTACCTGAATGATGGTGTAGCCTGTATCATGCATGCTAAGTACCTTCGTTTGCCCTTAGGAGATGTGATATGGGCCACTTCCCCCTGACGTCCAGGGTACATCCAACGTTTCAACAGCAGCCCGGAGTGAGGCAGCATCAGGACGCTGCCCTTGCCCAGTGGGAAGACATGTTTGGGGTACAGGGCAAGGGAGGGAGCTGAGATAGCTCCTCACAGCCTAACCTCTCCAGGATCCCTCTGATGACCTGGGCTGGGATGCAAGGACATGTGGAGCCAGATCCTTGGCTGGGCACAGTCAGTTCACACTAACCAAGGACTGTGCTGGGATCATTTCCACAGGCTTGTTTTGCTCCTTGTTGACAGTTCTCACAGAAATATATATGTGCCCCCAGCTGAGGCAGAGTGATCAGCCCTAGATCATTTCTCCTTGGCCTGTAGACTGCAGTGATTTCAGATGTGGTGACAACATAAAATGTGACATCTTTATTCCCAGTAACTTCAATGGAGGTATTTCTTTCTCTCTTCTCTCTTCTTCCCCTCCCACCAGAGATCTTTTTTCATCTCTACAAGCTAAATCATCATCTAGTGCTTTGTTTGCTTGGGATTTCTGAAAATTACAGCTTCTGGGAGAGAAATGGTATGTTTAGCTCAGAATAATGACAGGCTATCGCACAATGAATGTCTCCAAAGGAGGAAGATGAACAGTATTAGTGCTTAATGGCATCAGGCTGGGTAATCAGAGGTTTAATTAGGAAGATATGATAATTTATTAAATCTAATCATTATTAAAATATAGCTGAAAGAAATAAAATGAAATCAAGGACTTAAGGATACTTATGGGGGTTTTGACTCCCTCAGTCACCCACATCCTCCCATGTTCCTCACTCCCAGAGGCTTCCGGGGGAACTGAAACTAAAGCTGGGATGTTGGAAACACTTGTTCTTCCATCTGCAAACCCTTCACCTCCAAAGTCCCATCAGGCTCAGTCCCGCCAGACCATCTTCATTTCTCTGCCATCTGTATAAGCCCGTCGGGAAGGCTGATGTGCCAGCTTTATGCAGAAGGTGCTCGCCACTGTATTTCCCACCAGACCCTTCCAGCTTCCCCTGGGCTTGGCTCAAAGGCAGTTCCACTTCAAGGCTGTGGTTGGAGGCTATGGTTCTCCAGAGAATACCCGGTGATTGAAAAGCAGCTGGCTGCAGCTCCTTCCAGGCAAAATGAGTGCTTATAAGAAGCCAAGGAACTTTCCAGGAATTTGCCTTTTCGACCACATCCCTCAATAGCGGGCACATGCTCATAGCGAGCAGATCCAAAATCTGAGTCCTCTTGGATGTTTTTCTCTGCCAGAGGACTCTCACTGTCATTGGTGACCATCAGGGTACCATGATCTCAGTTTGGCTTCAAGCCAAGGGCCCTATGGTCTAGCCCTATGATATTTAAAAGACTCCCGTCTAAACATTGCAATGAGGAAAATCATCTTCCCCAGTCATAGAATCATAGAATGGCATAGGCTGGAGGGGACCTCAGAGATCATCTAATCCAACCTCCCTCCTTGGGTGATTGTTCAAAGATCTTTAAAGCTACCTGCCAGAAGCCATGGCTTCTCAAAAAACTCATTACTTCCACTCCCAGCACAGGGTGCACATCTTAGATCTACCCTCTCTGATGGATACACACGGTGACAGGTAATTTAGGGAAAACATGTCTCCACCAGCCCACGTGGAACCTACTCCTCTCCCTGGGAATGGGTAAGAGTGAACCAACATTTTAGTCATGGTCCTTGGACGCAAAACAGAAAAGTTACCCAGAAAACTTTGATGATAATATTGATCTATGAACATGCACAGAATAGAAAGAGATGAATTTTACTCGAGACTTCTGTTGCAGAAAACAACTTCTATTTGCCTGAAATATTGCTGTCCCATTCTTGCACATGTCTCTGTCATTTCCAGAAAACTGGTTTGGGAGATTTGTTTTCGCAGTTCCCAATACATTAAAGGCCAATTCACTGTAGCACTAATGAGCGATTCAGCAGCACACCTGAACTTCCAGCCTGCAGCTAAACTGAAACTGGCTGGAAGTGAATAATACAATCAACATGGTTTTTGTTTGTTTGTTGTTTTTTTTTTAATAAAATAAACTATATAAAATAAACAAGAGGAGGGAGAAATGCAAATGAGAGATCCCTGATGTTGTTAGTTTAAAATATACTTATTTCAGATTTGGCAGGGGGAACCCATACATATCATTAGCAGCATTTTTTTTGCTAAGATCTCTTGGGTCCTGCAGGCCAAGCCCCTGAAGCTAGCAGCATCATTTCAGGTAATAAGGGACTGACATGTAAAAGAATCCAGGCACCTACAATTGCAGATCACATGCTTACCATCATTTATAAAAAGGTCTGGACCCCAGATGTCTCTACAGCTACCTGTCTAAATATTAAAAACTTAGGACCACACTGAGAACTCCTCTTGGTGAGATCCAGCCTTCGGATTGGGACACTTGATATTCATTTCCATAGGAAAGTGTCGTGTCTCATGTCCCACTGCAGTCAATGCAGTCAACAGAGACTTTCAGATGCCCCAGAGAACATAGCTGGTGGCCAGCTGCCACTGTATAAGTTTCCCACAGGTCCTGGGTCCTATATGCCAGGTCCAGGCAAGCATCTCAAATGTCCGAAAGCATGTCATACGGCTTGGACACCTATAAGTGAGCAACTGATTCATGCCCTAACAGAACTGAGATGTTTTTCCAGGTGGAGGAGAAAGGTGAGGAACTGAAGATATGAAGATCATTTGTACTTGTCCATGTTACTGCCCTGACGTGCTACGTTTGTTTACAAGGCAAAGAGAGCTTTCCTGGCAGCTCCCACTTCATTGGAAAATGTGAAGTAAAAAGCCCTGAACCCGAAACTCAGCATGACCTCCGAGGTAATCTGGGCATAACCCTTCTGATGCGTGTTGGCAGCACTTCTACTGGGATGAATGGGAGCCAACTGCTCCAGGCTGCTGCTTAGCACTAGAACATATTTCAATATGCTGATTTAATCTACGTACCTGGCCAAAGCTGTTGCAATCCTGGGGGTACAAAGACACAATGCCCAATTGGAAATACAAAAAGGGGGGTGACAGAAAGCACAGGGCCTGGTAATGTTGTGTAACGATGACAGAAAAAGAGGTTATTGGCTCTGGCTGCTGCAGGGAGAAGTTAAGGTCAAATACTGGAATTTCCTTTCATAGATCGGAGAATCTCTTGAAGCAGATGAAATGCATAATTTACCACCACCAGAGAGAAAGTCTCAGTGTCATGGCTGGTCAGTATTTAAGGACCATATTGATATTGTCTTCCATCTTGCAGAAAGATGAACTGAGCTCAGATTCTTCAGGGTACCAAAGTGCACAGCTCTCTCCAAAGATGAAAATTTATGAGCAGTGACCATGTAGACTTTTTTGTTTTCAGTTATTTTCTAGGAAATATTTAATAAACATCCAGGATAGCTGAAATGCTGAGCCAGGACAGTGGCAAGAGTCAAAAATAAGCTGGTCTGAACTTTTATTTTATTTGCAATGAAGCCAAAATGAAGTCATGCAGATAGATCTGTCGCATTCTTAAAATACTGCAGCTAAGACCAGTCTTGGCCACTGAGACAGACGCTGATCTCACCTGCACGTTGTTTGTTATAAAAATCCCCATTAAGGTCAACCCTATATCCCTGGAATAAAAGCACAATGTCAAGCAGAACTTCTGAGACAGTGCTACTTCTCAATGGTGAAGAGAAATGCATTGAATTAATCCAACCTAATTTAGGAGTCTGCTTTAGGATAAGGAAAATTTGCTACAGATTCTACCAAATGTACTAATTTTCTAGATCTCTCCTTCTTTGGAAAAGGGAGCTGAGGGTAACTAGTTCAGAAAAAAAAAAGCCTGTATACTGTGGACAGCTACTCTTTGCTCTCCATGAGGGTCTCTCTGCCTTCAGAATCCAGTAAACATTGAATATATGAAGAAAAATCCTATTTTGCTTCATGATCATTATTGTTGCTCTCACTTTTTCATCGTTAATCCCAGGAGAAAGCCTTCTTGCTTGTGTGTTTGAACTGACATAAAACATGCCTGGCTGTTCCATTCCTGATTTCTGATCAGCTTCAATCAATTAACAAATACTTGATTCTGATCAGTGCAGAAAAACGCCGTACTGACCTAACGCCCAAAGAGGTTTTCCCAAAACTGTACAATGTCGTTAAAAAAGTCTAGGACTTACGAATATTGGCTGGTTTCGTTGTGTCCAACGTCTGGGGAATGCAACTTCTGGACTAAGATACGGATGATGCAAATGAAGAGAATGAAGTTCACCTGTTGGGGTGGGTAGCAAGGAAACAGAGAGAGAAATAAAAAATTAGCGTTTTTGTCCGGCGAAAAGAGCTGATCGTCAGAGGGGAGCTCCTTTCACTGCGATATTTTTGTCATGGAGCAAGCTGTCCTTAAAAAGCCATGAGCAGAGAACCCCGCTCTGGGAGCACATAGTAAACCGACACAGGATGGCAGCCCTCTTGGGCCTGACATCAGTCTGCTTGGGACTTTGTGTCATACATCCCAAGTATGATGATGTCAAACCCATAGAGCACAGCTATGCACGACGTCCTGCTGCGCGGGGGAGTGCCGACGACAGGGTGGGAAAAGAGCCTTGGGAGTTAGCGGAGCGACGGATGTCAAAGCCCTCGGGAGACGGTGACATGGGACCGGCTGCTGAGCATGTCAAAGACAGGCGGTGAGCCAAGGAAACCAAACCAAAACACAAAGCAGTATCCACTCAAGTGGGTCTCTACTTAATGCTATTGGGCATGTCTTCTCTGGAAACCTTGTATAGCAAGGACAACATTCTCTCCTAGGATGTTAGAACAGAGGAGTTTAGCTATTACCTAGATTTCAGATGGTGCTTTTCACTAAAAAAATCTCAAAGTGCTCCACCAACATACTCAAGCAATGTTAACCTTATTTAATTGCAAAGGTGTAGAGCTGGAAATGGTAATTTCCTAACGGCACGTAGTAGACGGCATGAGTTGAATGCAAATCTACTCGCTTTTAAAGTCCAGTCCATTGAATCACGCTGTAATTCATGCAGCATATACAATAGAAAAGCGATGACAGATTGCTGTGGACTTAGTTTAGTTTTAGTTTGGCACACAACCTCTTTCTTTATCCTTTCATGGTTAGCAAACGCACAAATGATTCTGATTTTTAGAGACTCAAAGGCTGGAAGGGATTATGTTAACCAGCCAATCTGATTTTCTGCAAAAAGAGATTTTCTCTGGCAATTCTATCTCAACAACAGGTGAATGAAGGAGCCTGAAGCACAGCTCTCATTTAGACACTCACTCTTTTTTTAAAGGCTATGAGTGATCGGAAATTAATTACATTTCTTGGTTATGAGGTATTGCTTAATCGCTTTTATCTGTCCCATGCCATCTATCATAGTATCTGTTCATATTTATTTGCTTATAAGAATGCTTTGCACCTGACTTGGTGGCAAGTAAAATTTATCAGTCCAAAGTGGTATTATCTAGATTAATTACTCTAATGAGCATTGATAGCACACAAGCTGCAGCACCGACGGTAAGATTGGAGCAGTTAAACATGGACTGTGTTGACTCGTGGTGGTCAAGAGCAAACACGACACAGGGCAGTGGTGAGTCAGGTGGGGTGTGATTTATAGGCTTAGTACAGCCTTGGCATTGCATGGCAGAAGATATGGCTGTCAGGCTACTGGAGAAGTTGTTTGGTTTATTTTTCAACCTAGAGTATAATCAAAGGCACTTGATCTGTTCCCAGTGCTTAGTATCTTATATCTTATATATCTTACATATCTCGTATATCTTATATATGTATTTCTTCCTTCCATTGAGATCTGGCTATGGAGAATTTGTTGCATTCCTCCCTGAAGAAACCTGCTGTTCATCAGACAGCAGCTATCATGCCTTTCCTTTGCGAAAGATTTATATGATATGTGCAGAAGGAAAATCAGAAATGGCTGGGCAAATTTTGTTTAGCAATGCAGGAATCATTTATTGGCCAAAAGAAATTGCAGACTTATTGATCTGAGGAGAATAGGGTGTATTTCTTCACCAAAAGGTTATCTCAGGAAAGGCAAAATACTAACTATAGCTTTCTGTGATGATACAAATATTTTGAGTTGTGTCACCTAAGTGTTGTATTCCTTTTCGGTGAGGTGAATAGAGTAAGATATAATTATTCAAACTGTTTCAGTTTGAAATCCCTATGTGAAAAATGCTACAGAAAAAAAAGTCTTCTTGTAAAGGTCATAATGCACATGGAATAAGAAGAATGTATGCCTAAGAAAAGATTTCTGTTTAAAAGAGATATATTTGGTTTGATTTCTGTTTCATTCTTTTTCTTCCCTTCCCACATACTTGTTTTCATTTAAGAAAACTCAAAGCTAAGTTTAACTCAAGTTCATTTGATTTTAAGTTTTGGCTTGATACCCAACAGAGGAAACAAATAATATTCAACAAAGATGAAAGTAGTCAGAGTTCCTCAGAAGTGTCACGGTTTATATGGTCAGAACTGATCATATGCAGAGAATTAAGAAGCCAAGCACTTCTGTTGATTTATCTGGAAATTAGCCAAGCTTCTCAAGAACTTACTTTAAAAACACATTGCTGGAATCCAACTTTGTACTGGATGCTATAACAAGAGTCAAATATCTGGGGGAATTCATCTAACCACTTTTTAACTAGGTAGACATTTACAGCAGGACTCATCTCATTTTACTTTATGGTGTTGACATCTACAACTGAACAAGTCATCCTGTGCTCTGCATATGTTAAGCTCAGAGAAACAAAAACATTCATGGAACAATTCATCTGATCTGATTTAGACATGCACTGATTCATTAGACAAGATGAGCCTTTCCTGGATCTCTAACCATGCTCCTCAACCTTCTCTGTCTACACACACCCATGACTACTCCACCAGAGTGCCCAGAGTGACTAGCTGAGATGGAGATGGTCAGTCAAACCAAATGAGCACAACCTTGGTTGCCTAGCCAGTTAAGCTCTTCCCATAGTCAATGTGTAAAGGTAGAGATGTTTATCTGAGAGTGAACTTCCTGATCCTAAGACAGACATTCAATATACAGTGGGATTTTATCTGTCAATGCATTTTCCATGGACATTTACAGACCACTTCTCCACATCCCTTCACCCCCCATGCTTAGTATCAAAGACAGCTTTGCAGCCAGCAGAATGTGCTGATACTTTACCAAAATAGACACCAAAATAGGAGTTTTAATGATCCACCAGAATGGGGATTCCACTATTTCCTCCCAGCACCTAAAAAGAAACAAAACCAGACTTAAAACATGAAGCAAAGCAAGCAAGCAGCTATGTAACCTTCTCAGGTACTTGGTTTCTCTGAATGCTAAAGATGGCTGTGCTAGGTTATGTGAAGAGGACTAAACCTGGTGTGCATGAACTGGGAAGGGCTGAAGACTTGCTTTGCAGTGGCTTTGAGCACTGGTAGGTACCACTTGCCCCAGATATGATGCTGTGAGTTCTTTTGCCCTTGGTAATGGGATAGTCTGGGGGGTGTTATGTCAGGGTCAATGTAGGGGAGGATGGTGATTCACTTCATTTCTCCTACACTGATGTCTGCCACAAGGAAATGCTATCAAAATCACAGATTCATGAGGCCTCCAATGCTATCCACCGTCATAGATGGAGATTTTGTTAAGCACAGAGCGATTTGCACCATCAGAAAACAAAACAAAACAAAACATGCCCTTCTGAAAAAGATGACAGACAGGCTATGGTGGGATTAATCCAACTAAAGTAGTTGCATCTGAGCTATGGAACTAGTCAGACACATTCATAGGGACCAGGGTGTGATTTATTTCATCCTGAAGTCAGAATTGTCTGCAAACACCACCACTCAGCTAGGTCATCTGGGACCATATTTTAAAGCCAACAAGGAAATGACAGAATAGGAACGATGTGGAAACGACTAATGTTCCTTGGGACACATTTATCTGCAGACCTCACAACAGTCAGGTGATCGAAGGTGCGTTTTTAGGAGAGCACTCGTGAAAACTGTGTGAAATAGATTAGTGGAACCCGTCGCAGACAATTTCACCTGGATTCAGCTCATCTAATTCCAAATGCCGACAGCGCAAGTGATAGCAGATGAAGAGAGGCACTTTAAGGGCACAGTTCCTCAGACCTATTTTAGCATCAACTTTAGGATGTAAAGAATTGCACTCCAGGGACTACGCTGACTAAATCTCCACTAGCTATAAAGGGAGTCTGGAGTGAATTGCTCACATACAGATGCTTATACTTAGGTGCACGCTGCCCTTTCATTTAGAATTAAAGTGGCCCTAATTATGTCTAGTGCACTTCATTTTTAAAACAAATTCAGGCAGTCTGAATGAAGGTCACTATAATTTGGAGTTAGAATGTTTAAAGAGAGGCTTAATGTTGTTTAACCAATCTTACATAATTAGGTTTTATTTAATCTGGATTAATTTCCTGTAATTTCTCTCCGTAGGTTATTTTAGCATGTGAAGAAAATCTACGTTAGGTGTGAGCATGTCTTATAAATTCACACCCTGTTTTACTTGGCACAAAAATGTAGAGCTTTAAAGCCTCTAGAAAATGCAAAGAAGTCTTTATTTTTATTAAGAATTGCTGGAGCTGAGTGGGAATATATAGTAAAAAGAATTGGTATCCAGACTGGTTAAGTCCTTCGGTCTCTATCTCACCGGAGAGGCTATTTATTAATAGAGAAAATAAGGTCAGTTTTATGCAGATGGAGCGAAACCATAAAAAAGTCAGTAGCCCTCAGGAAATGCATTAGCACGACTATACATCAAAAATGCAATGAGAAATCTGAGCTGCTTCTCCTGCTGAAATAAGGAGAAATCAGGACACGTCTGGAGAGAGAGAATGCGTGAGAGAAAACGGACTTAACCGCGTGCTGTAAATGCAAGAAGCAACGGGATGCACAGTGAGTACAAAATAAGCACCTGATTCTGTAACTCTCTGTCGTGTTTTCTCATAAAAGCCTTTCCAGTTACTGGAGTTTGACTGTTTGAGTAAAAGCATGAAGGACGATTGCAGGATCAGATCCTATTTACTTGCATCTATCCTTGGACAGCTCTAACATCTGCCTCATTCACTTAGTCATATTATATCTGGTTCTTATATAAACTATCAAAGGCAGCTATTAGGTTAAAGAGGATGAAAAAGAGATCCTAAAATCTGCCTGGAGGGGGGAAAAAAAAAAGAGTTTTTCTGTGGAAGAGCTAATGGGTTTATTTATCTGCACCAGCATATTTAGGGTCAATTCTGCAGGATGCAAAGCTCTACTCTGAGCACGGGGCAGCTGCTCAGCTGGTACCTTTGTTACACCCAGGGTCACAGGGCCAAACGCAACCATCAGGGTTTGTTCCCAACTTCCCCCCAAACATCCTGATCAAGGGGTCAGGGAACAAAGAGGGTGAGTGACTGGACTAAGTTCACATAAAACATGCGTCTTCAGGGAGACCTTGGAGCGTTTCTTGGTTCACGGTGGCTCTGCCGTTGGGGTTAGGGAAGGATGGTTGGGTTACTAAAACTGCAGGGCTTTCCTTGTCCTTTCTTGGAGAAAAAGGAAGAATTATAAAGGAAAGAAGTGAATCCACAGGCTTACCCAACATCGAAAAAGTAAATCCTGACAACGGTCCAAGCAGTGATGAACACGGAGGGGGCACCTGAGAAGAGAAGAGACGATGCTACCATCAGAATTCATTATCAATGTTTCCAGGGCTGTTCTCTCATTTTGTCCATCTCTCCTGAGTGACTGAGGTGATGCCTTCCCTCAAGAGTGGACAAATGCTTCACATTTTCAATGCTCACATGCCAAACAAGCAACGTGTTGCCTTTCTCTCATGTTGGCCATGTAAGATGAGTTTCCTGTAACTGCTCTTTAGCAGATTTATCCTCCTGTTGCAGTGCCTACAAAAAAACTTCCAATGACGAAATGCAAGGAATAGGAATCACTTTAGACATCTACAGGGTGGACACCTGTATCTAAGCCAGTCACCACAGGCTCTTTAGCATCAATAGGGAGAAGTATGTACTTCTAACGCACAGATCATCTGAGCTACTTTAGAGATTTGCTTTAGGACAAGAAATATGCCCTTGGACTCCCTTAACTGTATTGCCTGGATCTCCACTGACTATAAAGGGAGCCTGGAGTCATAAGTTCACATGTTGATGTCTGTAGTTGGCCAGATGAACCTGTCTATGCTCCTCACTCCTTGATCTTCTGACTGACTAGGGTGGTCTTGTTCCATCCTTGCAGTGCCTCTTTCCTCTGTCTCTTGTCTTTGATTGGGTTTAGATTGGAAATACTCCAGGAAGGACACGTTGCTTTATTCTGCGTTAGTCACAGCACTGCATATTGTTTATTCCCAGTGATTTCCAAGTACAATGGTAATAAAACCAGTAAGAACTGTAATGAGTGCGTCCAAATGATTAATTCCTGCATGGTGCATTTCAGATCCATCACTGATGCTCTTGCAAACAATGGATGACTGAAAGGCCAAAAGAGCCTTCAAGCACCTGTCATTTTCCTGAATTGCCCTTCCTCACCCTCAGAATACATCACGAGCACAAGAGATTTCCTTTGATTTAAAATCATTAGTGTCATACGTTTTTCTTTAAAACCAGCCTGCTCTACTGGGCTGAAAGAAAGGGTACCTGTGCACAAGGCGGGTTTTTAAGAAGCTCTGACCTGATTAACTGCATCTGAAACAAGGTCTGCTAACATCATCTCTTCTTCTGCTTACTGCATGAAGAACTGTCTCTCTTCTGCAGAGTGAACCCAAGCGTAACTCCTGTCACTTTCGATGGAAGTTACTCTACGGCTAACTGATCAAATCCCGAGTCCAGGCATACCCCCGTACATGACACAGTTTTATTTTTTCTTTTGTTTTCAAAATTCTTCCCCGCTCTAATTACTCCTCAGTTTCTGCTATCGAGAGCATGCAATAGAAAGCCATTTTGCTTACTTACACAAAAAGCTAAATGGCTTAAAAGAGAAAAGAGAGCTCTGTTTCCTCTTTGGAGAAAGAAGAGAAGTTGATCTGGTAGGATTAACTCGCATAAGTTAGCAATTCAGCTCTGAGTTACTTTGTGAAGAGTTTAATTCTGTCTTCCTTGGCATTTTCTCATTTTATTTTATAATTTTATTTTATTATTTTGTTTTATTTTATTTTATTTTATTT